CTTTATTCGGAGCTGCAAATCTAGCGTCAAAGTATGACTGCTCAAATCTTTTTGGTTTTCGAGATATGGCATTTTTAATGATTTTTTCAATTTTTTTTTCAAAAACTTAGATATGAAAAACTAATCGAACTTGAAATTCTCATTCCTAAAAGGATGTGCTATCGGGGTACAAACAAGGGCTCTAAATCTACCATTCAAGTATGACTGCTCAAATTCTTATGGTGCGAGGAGCCGCAACAGAGGGGAGAATACGAGATGTGTTCAGCAAGTACAACCCCGATGTGAACTACTCTAAGACAGAGATAACTAAATTTGACAGGAATTGTGGCCTCACTAAAAAAAGTAAGTTTCATGGTACGGCTGACAATACTCATCGAAACTGCGTAGCATATGCAGCCATCATTAAATATGGACCCATCTGTAAAAATTCACAAATCAGTCAATCAACAAGATCTCAATATACGTTACGTATGCGATGTCCATTCGTACTTACAACAATTCAATGTGGTCTGCCCACAAAACAGTCGACATTAAACTTGAAGATGTGCCAAGAAAATATTGAGAGTCATTCTGAACTATAGATTTCAAAAAACTATCTCAAATGAGGTGTTCTACGATGAGAGCAAGTTTTGCCCACTGTCCGAGTTCGTGACGAAACAAACACTGAAGTATCTCAGACATATGCTTCACTGAGAAAACGCTGTTAAATGCACTTATCAGCATATCACGTAACGGAATAAACGTGGCAAACACAGAAGCCTAACAATATCGGAGAAATTTTCCGGTCACAGTTCCTTAACGAGAAATTTTCCACTGGCAAAGGGGTCTTATTTTTCAGAGATCCATCTCAAGAATTGGTATCCAATGACTGTTTAAATTTTGACCAGTCTCTTCCCGATAAGAAAGTACCAGCATAGTTTTTCATTTGGACATCAGCTCTGATAACCAATCTTCCTAAAGATTTATTGTTTAGCAATTATGACGGACTCAAGCCCAAAGGAATTAGATAGATGTGGTATCACCTCCATCAAAACTAAAACGAAATCGTCAGTGATAATTGGAAAACTAGAACCAGAACTATCAGATCTCAAGAATTGGGACAAAAGTCATGGGTTATTATAAGCCGAACCGAATTACAAAACAATGAACTAGCCTTATAAATATCTTGCGGTTTGTAATGACCACATAAAGTTATTTATGAGCAATCAATCACTTCGAGGAAAATGGAGTTAATCCAAAATGTGCTACCTAAGAGATTTTCTAGTTGTGATAGAAAGGTTCTAAAAATTTTGGCCTTTGAAGACATTGCGATTGCTGGAAAGCGACTAGCAAACCAAAATTGAAAAATTTAGTTTCTAAAAAATGCGGGTAAAACGAAATGATTACATAAAATTAAACTAACATGCATTTTTGATTGAGTTTAGATGCACGCAAAATATTTTACCAAAAAAACAATCTTTATTGCCCCGTTGATTTGTGGTCAGATAGAGTTAAAACTCGGTTGTTGTAAGAAGGCAGGTGAGATGAAATTAGAATTTTAAAACGTTAATTCAAACGTTTTTGCACATTTTGTGCATCATCAGGATTAAAAGTTTCTGCACAAAATTTACAAAACAGTCAAACGTTTGAAGAAATGGGAATCATGTCTAAAAATTGCTCTGAAATATTTTAGACCCATCTATCTATCTTTAATTTAATTGGCGTTTTATGTGGCACATGTTTAAGAGAACTCTATTTTTGCAGGTTTAAACTTTCAACGTATTATTTGTTTCATGTTTAACGAAAGTGTTTTTTTGCACGTTTAAGCTATACCGTATATTAAAACGCTCAACAAATTTCATTTAGCACAGGTTTAAGAAGTCCTTATGCTGGTCTGTTAAAAGGCCAAAACAGGCAAGTGTTGAAAAGTTTACTCAAATCAGCGTTTCGAAATCTGATGGAGCTCGAATGCTTCAAAATTCTTTACATTTTTTCCTTTATTCGGAGCTGCAAATCTAGCGTCAAAGTATGACTGCTCAAATCTTTTTGGTTTTCGAGATATGGCCTTTTTTTATGATATTTTTTTTTCATTTTTTTTCGAAAAAAGATAGACGTAAAAAAAACTAACCGATTTTGAATTTCTCAACCCTATAGTGGAGTGCTTACAGTGTAGCCTCAAGGGCTACAAATCTAGCGTCAAAGTGTTATGACTGCTCAAATCCTTATAGGTTTGGAGATAATTCTTTTTTTTAATGATTCTTCCTTTTTTTTCTTCAAAAAATTTAGATATAAAAAAACTAATCGAACTTATATTTCTCAACATTATAGAGGGATGCTATCGGGGTAGTTTTGAGGGCTAAAAGTGTAGCCTCCAAATATGACTGCTCAAATCCCTATGGTTTTCAAGATATGGCGTTTTTTATGATTTTTTCAGTTTTTTCAAAAATCTTAGTTATAAAAAAACTAACCGAACTTGAATTTACCAGGTACACTCGTGGGCTCTAAATCTAGCGTTCAAGTATGACTGCTCAAATCTTTTTGGTTTTCGAGATATGGCCTTTTTTTATGATATTTTTTTTTCATTTTTTTTCGAAAAAAGATAGACGTAAAAAAAACTAACCGATTTTGAATTTCTCAACCCTATAGTGGAGTGCTTACAGTGTAGCCTCAAGGGCTACAAATCTAGCGTCAAAGTGTTATGACTGCTCAAATCCTTATAGGTTTGGAGATATTTCTTTTTTTAATGATTCTTCCTTTTTTTTCTTCAAAAAATTTAGATATAAAAAAACTAATCGAACTTATATTTCTCAACATTATAGAGGGATGCTATCGGGGTAGTTTTGAGGGCTAAAAGTGTAGCCTCCAAATATGACTGCTCAAATCCCTATGGTTTTCAAGATATGGCGTTTTTTATGATTTTTTCAGTTTTTTCAAAAATCTTAGTTATAAAAAAACTAACCGAACTTGAATTTACCAGGTACACTCGTGGGCTCTAAATCTAGCGTTCAAGTATGACTGCTCAAATCGTTTTGGTTTTCGAGATATGACGTTTTTTAAATTTTTTCTCCTTTTTTTCAAAAAACTTAGATTTATAAAAAAACTAATCTAACATGATTTTTTCAATTTTATAATGGGATCATATTGGGCTACACTCAAGAGCTGCAAATCTAGCGTGCAAATATGACTGCTCATTTTCTTATGGTTTTCGAGATATGGCATTTTTAATGATTTTTTCAGTTTTTTTTTCAAAAACTTAGAAATGAAAAACTAACCGAACTTGAATTTTTCGTTCCTAAAGTGATGTGCTATCGGGGTACAATCAAGGGCTCTAAATCTAGCGTTCAAGTATGACAGCTCAAATTTTTATACTTTTGGAGATATGGCTTTTTTTATATTTTGTTCTTTGTTTTCCAAAAACTTTGAAATATAAAAAAACTAATCTAACTTGAATTTTTCAACTTTATAATGGGGTCATATTGGGCTACACTCAAGAACTGCAAAACTAGCGTCCAAGTATGACTGCTCAAATCCTTATGGTTTTCGAGATATGGCGTTTTTTATGATTTTTTCAGTTTTTTCTAAAAAACAGATATAAAAAAAACTAACCGTACTTGAATTTTCCAACCTTATAGTGTGGTGCTATCCGGGTACACTCAAGGGCTGCAAATTGACCGTCCAAGTATGACAGCTCAAAAACTTTTTGTTTTCTAGATATGGCGTTTTTTTATGATTTTATCATTTTTTCTCAAAAACTTAGATATGAAAAATGAACCGAACTTGAATTTCTCATTTCTAAAGTTGTGTGCTATCGGGGTATAATCAAGGGCTCTAATTCTAGCGTTCAAGTATGACTGCTCAAATCCTTATACTTTTGGAGATATGGCTTTTTTTATAATTTGATCTTTCTTTCCAAAAACTTAGATATACAAAAAGCTAATCTTACTTGAATTTTTCAACTTTATAATGGGGTCATATTGGGCTACACTCAAGAACTGCAAATCTAGCGTCCAAGTATGACTGCTCAATTCCTTATGGTTTTCGAGATATGGCATTTTTAATGATTTTTTCAATTTTTTTTTCAAAAATTTAGATATGAAAAACTAACCGAACTTGAATTTCTCGTTCCTAAAGTGATGTGCTATCGGGGTACAATCAAGGGCTCTAAATCTAGCGTTCAAGTATGACAGCTCAAATTCTTATACTTTTGGAGATATGGCTTTTTTTATATTTTGTTCTTTGTTTTCCAAAAACTTTGAAATATAAAAAAAACAAATCTAACTTGAATTTTTCAACTTTATAATGGGGTCATATTGGGCTACACTCAAGAACTGCAAATCTAGCGTCCAAGTATGACTGCTCAAATCCTTATGGTTTTCGAGATATGTTGTTTTTTATGATTTTTTCAGTTTTTTCTAAAAAACAGATATAAAAAAAACTAACCGTACTTGAATTTTCCAACCTTATAGTGTGGTGCTATCCGGGTACACTCAAGGGCTGCAAATTGAGCGTCCAAGTATGACAGCTCAAAAACTTTTTGTTTTCTAGATATGGCGTTTTTTTATGATTTTATCATTTTTTTTCAAAAACTTAGATATGAAAAATTAAAACTAACCGAACTTGAATTTCTCATTTCTAAAGTTGTGTGTTATCGGGGTATAATCAAAGGCTCTAATTCTAGCGTTCAAGTATGACTGCTCAAATCCTTATACTTTAGGAGATATGGCTTTTTTTATAATTTGATCTTTCTTTCCAAAAATTTAGATATATAAGAAAACTAATCTAACATGATTTTTTCAATTTTATAATGGGG